TAAATTCATCACAAAATAATACATTTGTTCTGTCACATAAATATTGGAACTAGATATTTGGTTGTAAGCAATAGTATAACTTCTAGTATTCAGATAACTGTGGGAGGACTAGTGGAAGCACAGCAGGCAGGAAAATGGCTTGGCCATCAATAAGGCTAAAGAACTCTCCTACATTTCCTAAAGCAAGGGAGAATCTTAAAGTTGATATATTTGAGTACTGAGTATCTATGAGTCCCTATAGATTCTTTAAAAAGATCTTTATGGACTGAATTAAGAAAAATAAATATTTCATACTTAGCCTTTTCTTTTTCCTCATTCACTCACCCACTCACACATTTACCAAGGAAATACTACATACCAGGTCCTGGAATGGAGAAAATCTTGCAAGGTCCCTCTAATGATGATAAACAGTGATTTCACTCTTCACAAGGGTTTGGATCAATGTTTTTAGACAGTCTATAATAAAGGTACAGCTACAGCTCCCAAATCTCTACCAGGTTATAGTTTCTGAGAACCCTATATATTTAATTCCCACAGAATTCTCAGTATAGTCAGACATCTTAGATACACACTGTGGGGAACACACATTATAATTATTCAAGACAGATCAGTGGTTGGAGCGTTCAGCTATATGACCTCTAGCCCTGGTTCTGCTACGTCTGTCTAGGTGACCTGAGGCAAGACATTAACCTCTCTGACTTTTTCTCATGTGTAAAATTAACTTCAGTTAAAATTAGCTCCAAGGATCCTTCCAAAATTTATATTCTGTGATTTTTCTCAATAAGTTTTTAATCCCCAACAAGTTAGAATGGAGACTAGGTAAATGAAATTGCTTAGAAACTGTATTTCAGAGAATCTATTGGAGGCAAGTAGCAATTTTAAATTACATTTCTTCTGGGTATATGAGTTAAGATTTAGATAATGTAAAGCCTTTTTATTTGTTGGAGTAAAATTTTACATTCTGTTTAAGAAAAGTATGAGACTTTTGGTAATGAGGAAAGCCACAAGTATGAGTGGTACTCCAGAAATTTGATCTATAAGAACTGAGCAGAGATTTCTTCCAGTGAAAGAAAAAAAGGGATAGCACAGAAAGGCCATGACTGCATTTGCAAATCCTATGCTTGAGGGAAGAAGGGCAGCTTTTGTTTTCCAGGAGGGACAATGGAAGTGAGCCCAAAATTAATGGAGGAAATTGAAGGTGAACCGTCAGTTGTGTTGTAATATTTTATATTATACTACACTGGGAAGTTAGAATTCAGAATTACTTAACTGATTACTCTAGAATCAGTTTTTGGGAACATTTTTGTTTTAGTCACTTCAGTTAGAATGCCTTTGTGGATTTGCACTCACAGGGCGCCCAGTTTATAGACATTCTGACCTTGTTTGACTCTCTTAACCCCTTCCCTGCAAATCTGTTTGCTTGAGGAAAGACTAAAACCTCCACCCTCAAACAGCAAGCATAGTTACCAAAACTATGGTGGAATGCCAGATTAATGCCTTCTCTCTGTTGGTGCTGAAATGTGCTTAATTTCTCACTCTTTACTCCTCATCTCTCTAGAGAGGGGAAGTTTAGCAGAGCTATAATTTTATACTGTGGGGTATAAACTGCTATCAAGCATTGCAGGTCATTGGGAATTTTTTTCCTCTTATAGTCTCACCTTTTGGTAGTAATTTGTGAGCTGTTCCTTTTAAGAAAGCCTTCTGGATGCTTTGGGTTAGTAAGAAGTCCGTTTCACATAAAGCTGAAGAGAAAGAGTCTCTAAATTCCAAAGGGCATTTATTCTCCCCTTAATCCTCTCCTCTTCTCTTCTTTTGTTTATCTTTTCCCTCAATAGCTGGAACAGTGCACCTCTCCAAAGAGAAGATTGCACTCTAGTCTCAAGATCTGTACCATCTTTAAATTATGCAGATGAATGTTGATGGAAGAGAAAGCTTAGGCAAGAAGAAAGACCTTGTTCTCAGAGGGTTACCTGGAGAACTGAAGATTGAAAAATATGGCTGCATCTCAATTACTCAGCAAATTGTCATACCCAAGTGGATAACCAGGGACAAGAAGGAGTACATTCCTGCTTCTAACGTTCAAATAATTACCCAGCACTGGGGCCTTTGGGAGAGTTAGAGCTGGTTTTCTTGATGTAAATCACCCATCAGTTAAATATACATTCTGAGGATTTTTATGCCCATGATATAGCTTTAAAAATTGTAACTGGTAAAAAAATAATGTGGGTTTTAATGTGGGGAGGACCTGCAATCCTTTTGGTCTTTAGAACTTCTCTCCTGTTAGAGAAGGACACAACAGAGATAGATTTTAATTTATTAGAGAAAATACTCTTTTTGATTTAAGAAAGAAAAACAAGAGCTGGTATAGAGTTTTGATCTTCCTCACCTCCTCATCTCCACAAAAATAAGGGCAAAAGAAGTTGTGTTTGTAACAGAGATTCTGATCTTTCTATCCTCTTGGAGCACTTTTTAGGAGTGATTCCTCCCAGCTTGTCTCTCAGTGTGATAGGTATTCCCATTCTCCTTTACCTGATTTTGATTAACAAATGGAAATGCAATGGGGTAAAGTTCCTGATGATGAAAAGAATATTGTTTGTACCTGTGGGAATAGCGAAAATCTAAAACACGTGTTTCCCTAGTATAGCAGGTCCTTAAAATGACCAGATTACCCTCCTACTGCTCACTTTTTCTTTTTTGAGAAACTTATTAAAGGAGTCAGTCAGAACCTGCTGGAATAATGTTGCATAGTAATGGCAAAATGAACCCAATCTGGGGGCAGCCATAAAATGGCACCAAGAGGAGACTCATGTTGTGTCTCCACACCCTTTGCCAAGGGAGAGACAGTGGGGAACTACATGAAATCTCACCACTGATTTTTCTGAGCATCCTCTTGCCTGATGTGTACCCCATGAAGAAAGAATCATTTCAAGTGTCTTGTAAAGGCCCCTGTGGAAGTTAGATCATGAGCAATCTAGGATGATCTCACCCAGTTATTCAGGGTGTTGAACTTGATGGCACATGGGGGAGGCAGTTACTGTTAAATGGCTCAGAGCTGGTGGGGTGGGTCAACTGCCAGGAAAAGCAGAAGCAAACCCCTGGGAGAACACTTTACATCTCCAAATTTAGGAGCAACAGGGAGCTCTTTTACACTGGGAGCACTTTTGTTTTCTCCCAGAAAAGATAATTTCCCTCAGGGGGATCTGCTGAATGAAGCAGTGTATTTTCACCCTTGTGAGGATGGGTGGGCGTGAGTCCGGCACAACCATAAAAGAAGAATGAACTTGGACATACCACACACTTGGTTTGGCCTTGTCCCATACCTGTGCTCTTGTCATGCTTGATCACCCACTTACAGCAGATATGAAGCAAGCTGCCTGCACTGTGGCTTGAGATAAAAGCTATTTTAATATGCCCAGGTCACATAATATCTTGGCCAATAGTAATTTTATATCATTTTCTTAAAGGAAACCGCACTCCTTGCAATACTTTTTTTCCAATGAAACAAAATTTCACATGACAGAAAGCTTTACATATAACTCTTTCATTTGAATAATAGCATTGAATCTCCTCCATGCCAAACAGAATTTTAAAATATCTTTATTATTTCTTTTGATATGCAAACCATAAGGAGAACAAGTTTGGAAGACTCTCAGTTAAATTGCTAATGATTCCACTTTCCTTAATAGTGGAGCATTTTTTTTTTATGGCTCCTGTGCATTTTTCAAGTTAAAAAATATAAACAAACCAAAAAAAAAAAAAAGGTGAAACTTTTCTTCTTTTACTTTATGAACCTTAAGAACTGAAATAGCGTTTTGGTTTCCTGACTGCCAGCTTTGATTTGCATTTTTAAGCGGTCTTGAGCAATTCCCCAGAGGAAGCATTGGAAAAGGGCTTTTCTCCCACATGAGAGTGTTTCATCCCACACAGCCCACAGATTTTGATGGCAACCTTCAGGGACCAAGTGTCTGGTTTTACAGAAGCCGCTGCAGAGTATATTTTTCCTTCCACAGGTGCACACTGCTCATTTTCAGACCTCAGAAACAAGAAGGTAGCAGTCTTTTAAAATGTGGATAGCTTAACCACTGGATATCTCTGTGAGAATTGGGGGCCAACCAGGTTGATTTGAATGCACTAGAGGAGGGAAAAGAAGGTGGCAAGCAGGGTTCAAACCTCCAAAGCCTTCTAGCTGATCTTTCTTTATAAGCATCTGGTGTACACAGAAATACTGTATCATTTGGCCTGTGTTTTTCTCTACCGTAAAACACATTGAAATGCTTTATGTCTAGGTGTGTGGATAGAAATTCATGAAGTCCTTTTATACACTTTGTGACTTCCAATCCAATTCTCCTCTTAGGAAGGCTTAAAAAGGTAGCTTTGTGAGAGCACACTCTGCCATGGCTTGTAAACTTGGATTTGTTCTTTCCTATCTACCAGCCACCTGATTACCGACTCTGTGGAAAGGGCACCCGTTCACATCATCATTTTTTCCAAGGACTTCAACCTGGAAAGATATATATTTTTTTTAAAGGACTCATGGAAGCTGTATTGGGGGTTTGGAAAACACAGCAAAATTGTTAGCAGACCTTTTGACTGTGCTATTTTTAGAAAACTAATTGTGTTCTTTTAAAGTACAGTTTTGATAATGGGACCAAGTTTTCCCCCACGGATATGTGAGATATTTACAATGAAAAAACCCTCAGAAAAACACCCCACACAGATACATTTTAACCTCAGCAACACTCAGCACCAGAGAAAGTGATTTTAAAAGAGAAGAGGCTTTTGCAATACTTAGGCTTCTGTTTCTGCCCAGAATTAACTTTTTTTAAATTTTTTTATTTTACCGTTCAAACAGAAGTTTGTTTGCAAGCCGGTTGCTAGTTAAAGGAGCAGCTGATCTGGCATCCCTAAGAATCAGCTCTAGCCAAACAGCCCATGGACCAGAGGAGACATTCCCAGCAGCTACCCTTCAGTAGGTAAGGTCCTGCGGAGTGTTACCTTACCTTGAGCACGTCAGATCCAGGAGAGAGGCTGGGGGCTCCCACAGGAGAGGTCGGGAAGTGCTCTGAGCCGGTGGTGCTGGTAACATGCACTTGGCTTTTATGGGCAGGTGGGAGGAGTCGCTCCTCGCTCCTCGTGGTAGGTGGGCAGGGAAGGAGCGGCGGGCGGGCAGCCCCGGGAGGAGCTGGACACTCTTCTGTGGGGAGGGGCGGAGAGGGCAGAGCCCCAGCCCCTGGGAGGGAGGGGAGGTGGGGTGGGGGGGTAAAGGGGGATGGGGTGCAGGAGCTGAGGGAGGAGTGTAGACTGGGAAGGCAGGAAGGAGAAGGGGAAAAAAAAAGAGTGCAGAGAAATAGAGAAAGGGATGTAGATAGACCACATTGGGGGCCGGGGGGGGGGAAGTTGGGAAGAAAATGAATAGGAAATAGAGAGAGACACCCCAACACGCAAGATCCGGAAGGAAAAGAAGAATTGAATTATTTTTTCGGTTTTGTATGGCATTTTTGGTGGGACGACGGGGGTTAGGGGGGTGGGTTCTGGTGACTGTTATTATTAAAGGTATTTTCTGTGAATGTGAAAAGCTATGTAACGGTTCCGGGAAAGTGAAGGGTGCCTGAGCCAGGCAAAGGCGGGCAAGCTGGGCGTCCGGAGGAGCAAAGCCCTAGTGCGGGGCGGGCGCAGGGCGGTCAGGGGCGCGCACCGGCGGGACGGAGCCGCCACCTGCGCCCCCAGCCCGGTCACCCCACCGCCCGCGGGGACCACCCAGCCCTCCCCCACCCCGGCGGCACCGCTTATTTTACAGGATGGTCCCTGCCCTCAGCATGCGGCATCCAGAGCCCCCTCTGGAGGTTCTACAGCATCAAGGTAAACCCAGCAAAGGTTGGGGAGGATTGGCTTGTGGGGAAAGGAACCCCACAGCCAGCCTGCGTCCTCCAACATCTGCTTATGTAACAGGATTTTCAGGGCTCCCTGCCCTCTGGTTATTTTCGGTATTTAAAAAACTCTCATTCCTAACAATTGGAAAGCTTCCTGGTGCCATAGCACTCTCTCTCTCTCTCTCTCTCTCTCTCTCTCTCTCTCTCTCTCTCTCTCTCTCTCTCTCTCTGTGTGTGTGTGTGTGTGTGTGTGTGTGTGTGTGTGTGTGAGTCTTAAACGTTAAGAGAGGATCCGACCACAAGCTGCTGGAGGATCAGGCAGGAATTCTTAGCCCATGCATCCAGAGAAAGAAAAACAAGCTCCTTTAGCTTCTGAGGGGTGACTCACTTCCCAGCCTGAGCTTGGTTTCTGCCACCAAAGGAATGAAAGCATTTTAGAAGAGGAGAATTGGAGCCTTGGGGATGGGGATTTTGAGAGGGGCAGGGGGATGGTGGGTGGGCTGGGAAAAAATGATGGAACTTTTATGGCATATATATAACTCTATATAAAATTACATAGAACTTGATTCAATGTTCATCACAACCTTATGAAGTAAGTATGATACGTTTTTGTGTAGTTTTTTTTCTTCTTTTTTTAAGAAAGAAATCTTGTGGGGGGTGACTGGATAAAGAAGTGAAGGGCTTAGCTAAATGACATATACGCATGCCCCACGGGCAAGAACAATAATGTGGTGAAGACCAAGGGAGGGGAAGGCAGGCGTGGGAGATTGACATTTGCAATGGTGGCAACATTACATTTTTTTTTTTTTTTTTTTTTTTTTTTAGTAAAAAAGAAAGGAATCTCAAAGGGCTTTAACAACTAGAAACTAACAAGAGGGGGAGCCTTCGCTGGTGAGTTTGCAAAGCGAGTGCACCCTGCGCACCTGGTGGCCGTATACAACACCTAGCCTGGTCCCCAGTTAGATCCTGATGCCCTAAGATGTTACCAGGCTCCAAGAGAATAAAAAATGTGGACCAAGAGCAGGGTTTCTCCAAGGGGGTACTACGGACATCCTGGGCCAAATGATTCTTTGTTGTGGGGATCTCTCCTGGGCACTGCAGGACGTTGAGCAGCATCTCTGGCTTCTACCCACTAGATGCCAGTAGCACCCCCACCAAGTTGTGAAATGTCCCCACACTTGGCCAAATGTCTCTGGGGGTCAAAATTCCCTCTTCCCTTTAAGAACCATTGGTCTAAAGAGATCAAAAAGTTTAAAAGGGGATTTAAAGAAATCTGTTATGAAAAATACCCAATAGGGCATTTGGATGATAATACTGCTAGCTGCCATATGTGCTAAGTTTTCACTGGACTTAGTTTTTTACGTGATCATATTTCTATCTGCCTGCCTCTAGAGACCAAAACATCAATTGCTTCCTATGTAACTAAATTTATTCTCAATTGGATACACCTGGCAATCAATAAGTAATGCATCTGAAGTATGAAAGAAAATGAATGATATATTAGAGAAAAACATTAATATCCTTATCATAAATAAATTTGACATTAGAACAATTATCCAATATTATTCATGATTTTTTATATTGATTATTTCCCTTATTTATAGCATTTCTTACTTCTATGCTTCCTATTCAGATTATACTCAGCAACTTTTTGGGCTATGAAGAAGTTATATCTAGTGGTTAACTAGCTAACAGAAAATAAATACTCAATTGATACATATAGTCTGATTAAATAAATGACATTATTGAGCACTGACACAGAGAATGGTCAGTATATTTTAGTTTAATGAATGGTTAAAAGAATTAATGAATGCCTAGAAAGCTAGAACTTTCACATTAGCTGTCCTGCCCATTTGCTATTTGGTTTTACTCTCTTCTTATCCTCCCTAATTCAGTTTTCCTCTTTCCAAATTGTTTGTCTTTCGAGGATGTGGCCAAATTCATTAAGTCTTTGAAACGAATGATCCCTGTTACTGGACCTAGAAATAGGACTGCATTGACTATTCTGGGGCTGACCCTTGAAATCAGACGTGATTTTTCAGGCAGGATGCCACTTTTTAATTTAGCAAAGAAATGTGTTCTGGGCAAATTTAACAGGACCCAGTTAGAGAAGCGTCTGGGTGATAAACATGTTAGTAGATAGTTTCATCAGATTTCAGCCAATCATCTTTTCAGTCCTGATTTAATGCCTTCCAAACATTCCAGTCTCATCACACAGTGGGGAAAAATAGAAACAGTAAAGGCAAGAAAAGCACAGATGATTGACAGCTGTATTTTTCTTCCATTTTTTCTCCTTTACTAACCTGAATATCCAGCCAGTGTAACAAAAGAGCTTCTTTCTTTCTGTTTGGATGTTGCTAATGATTAGTTCATTTCTCCAGTTCACACTTGCCTGAATCTGATTCAGTAGCAGATCTGGACAATAAGTCAGGAATCCAGGAATGTGATCTGTTTGCTGACTCTAGAATCTCTCTGAAAGTGACTGAGTTTTTTTTTTTTATTTCTTATTTTATTTTATTGTTTAAGGTATTACAAATGGTAGTATACATGTCTCTTTCTCTCCCCCCCCCCCCCCCACTAACCTCCCCTAACCCCTGGCACTTGCCCTCATCCTTCTGCCCCCACTGTCTTGAGTCTGTTGGTTGTGCTTATAAGCATGCATACAAGTCCTTGGGTTGATCTCTTACCCCTCACCCCACTACCTTCCCACTGTAGTTTGACAGTCTGTTCCATGCTTCTTTGAAATGACCTAGTTGGTCTTCTGTGGAAAGAAAGGAATCCAATGACAACATACTAGATAGTCTGAAGCTTCCACTGTGTGGACATATCAGCTACAAATGATTCCCTTATTTTAAAGAGCTTTGAAATGGAAACTTTTTTGGCTTAATTAGAATTAATCAATTAACAAATAAGAGTGGACACTAGACAGGGTGGAGCATTTAAAGCAGAGGAGAACAAGAATGCAGATCTGTTCTCATGGAGGAAAAAAGCATGAAATCCTGGTAGTTCAGTAGTAAAGAGACTTCAAAGAGGAGGAGGCATTTGAGCTGAGCCATGGAAAGTAGCATTCGCACAGAATGTAGGGGAAGGGAGGGAATGTGTTCAACTGGGAAAGACACATGAATATTTGGAGGGTGGTGAATTGGCCAGCATGACTGAGAAGGGCCTATTTAGCATAACAATGAGGCCAAGAAGCAGGAAAGGAGAGGTGGGGTCAGCCTGTGGAAGGCCTCAAATGTCACCTCAGTAGCCTAAACTGTATCCTGTAGGCAATGAGGAGTTATTGAAGACTTTTGAACAGAAGAATAGCATGATGGAAATGGAATATTATTAAGATTTCACTTTTTTAGAAAATAGTGTCTTTATAGCTGTTTTGCAGAGAAATGCTTGTTGGTATGTCTAGGGCAGTGGTTGGCAAACTGCGGCTCATGAGCCACATGCGGCTCTTTGGCCCCTTGAGTGTGGCTCTTCTCAAAATACCCCGTAGGTGCTCACATACAGTGCAATTGAAACTTCGTGGCCCATACGCAGAAATTGGTTTTCTGCTCTCAAAAGAAATTTTAATCATTGTACTGTTGATATTTGGCTCTGTTGACTAATGAGTTTGCTGACCACTGGTCTCGGGCCATTAGCATTCTTAGAAATAGAGAAGACTAGGTGTCTTTACCCTGCAGACCTGGAAATCTGTGTGAGTTGACAGAAATGAAGGTGGCGTTAGCCAGAGTGTTTCTATAGTGCACCGCGAGGTTGTGAGAAGGCAAGATTCTAGCACTGTGCGGCCAGATGACAGGTGGAATTAATGTGAAGAGTATTGAACGCTCCTGTTGTAGCTTTAAAGGTAACAAAAAGTATCTATCCCCAGAAAATAGGTCTGATGTATAAGATTCTTGAGTTTTCAGGGGTTACTGGATTAGAAAATAATGGAATCTGGGTTTGAAAGATTAATCTTCACATTTTCAAACAGCCAACTTTCAACTAGATATTTTATATGTGTTACCCTTGGCAAATTTCAACCTTCTATTCTTCCTGCCACTCCTAAGTTCTTCCGAATGCAAATGAACATGGCTTTTGGTCTAAGAAAAGAAAAGAAAAGAAAAAGAAAGAAAAAAAGAAAGAGAAAAAGAAAAAAAAATCACTGACTATTTGAAGTTCGAGGTACAGAAATTTTCTCTCCATCCATCAGTCAGTCAGCTTAAGCTTGTGCTAAGTATCACCAAATATGACCTTGGCCTGCAAGGCACTTACAATTGCCAACTCTCCTACTTCTTTTAAAATAAGGTTTTATTTACAAAAGCTGAAAAG